CACTCAGTGCATTATGACTTTGCGGTGAATTTCAATGACGTCATCTTTGTCTCAGCGTATCAACGTCCCAGCGTATCAGCGTCTCAGTGTATCAGCGTCTCAGTGTATCAGCGTTTATAAGACAACGTACTCGGTTCTTTGAAGTGCAGAGCCACATTTTGTAGACTGTGCCAAGTACGATCCTTATCCGAGGAGACTGTTACACCACCAGAACCACTCAACCATTCAACTCTAGCATGAAAAACACTAATGGTTGAGACATAATATTTTCCCCATTGCAGACAACGGGTAATATCTAGTTACCTTGAAAACTTGCACTCACATATGACAAGGTAACAGTCAAATTTACGGCAATGTTGTCTGTACCTTGGATCAAGGATCTGTCTTCTGTTTGTGCAGGCAGTACATTTGTAATAACCACACCTGAAAAACGCCAATCATAAAAGACAATAAATCTGGATATTCATATTTTTGATTTTAGTTTCAAATAATAGATTGGTGATTGTTTTGTCCGAACCACGATGTTTAGTGAACTGCAAGGTTCGATGTTTTGCTCCCTGTTGAGGGCTTGCTGTTTTTTTTTTGGCATTAAATAGTTATCTTGAAAATTTACCTACGTCGTATCATTCCTCATTTACGTCAATCTAAGAGTGACAAACACAACACTGGCGACGAGGCAGATTTAGAAACCCTTGCCCTAGACGTACGCATGTGAGCTGGTTATTAAATCTTTTTTATAACATTGAAGAGAGTAAGTGCAGCCGTTCGTTGGGAATCCGTACCTTCATCGTTCGCCGGCGTGGTGTTCTGCGAGACACAGCACAGAGTGCACTTGACTGCTACATAGCAACGGCAGAAAGCTAACGGTAGGCTAGCTTAGAAAGACCCATATATAGATAGGACGCTACGTATAGGCCTAGTGTGGCTACAGCTATAGGAAAGATTGATGTATTTGATGGAGGCGTGGAGTCATGGGACGTATACAAGGAACGGTTGGACCAATATTTTATTGCTAATGATATAGAAAATGTAAAGAAGGTTCCTGCCCTAAGCAGTTCGATAGGTGGACAGACATATGCATTGTTACGTGATTTAACAGCTCCAGATCGTCCATCCACTAAAACCTACAATCAGTTAACTCATATTTTGCAAGAACATTTTGTTGCAAAGCCAATTGTGATAGCAGAATTTTTCAGGTTCCACAAGCGGGATCAGAGAGATCATGAAAACATACGTGAGTACAATGCGGCTCGACGTAAATTAAGTGAATAGTGCGAGTTTGGCAAAACACTATCTGATATATTAAGAGACAGACTGGTGTGTGGTCTCCGGAATGAGACTATACAAAAACGGTTGTTAGCAGAATCAAAGTTAACTTACAAGAAGGCCATAGAGATAGCCATTGCTATGGAAATGCCATTACTATGGAAATGGCTTCTAAGGACGCTATCGAGCTCCAAAAGCATTCAAACACAGTACACACGATGTACAACGAACGCCCAAAGACGAGTGTACGCAAGCCACATAAACAAGGTAAACCCTGTTTTAGATCCAATGGCACTAATCATGATGAAGCTCAGTGCCGTTTTAGAAATGTAACATGTTATAACTGTAAGAAAAGGGGACATGTTCAAAGAGCATGTCCAGTAGCAAAGTCTACAAATGAGCCTGCATTTCGTCATACAAGGAAGTGGTCCAACAGAGGCGCACATTCGCTTGAATATGACTCCGAGGAATACGGGGATGAAGTAATTAATAACGTTGAAATACACAAAGTGAAACGAGATGATGTAATTTGGGTAACACCCACCATAGAGGGACAATCTATGCAAATGGAATTGGACACAGGCTCAGCGATATCGGTTATTAACAAAGCTACTTACAACAAGAACTTTGCTAATTCTACGGCTATTTCACTCGGACATTAAACTTAAAACATATTCCGGTGAAGTATTGGTACCTATTGGTGTCCTGAAAGTAAAAGTGGAATTAAATCAACAGCGCAAGATGTTGGAATTGTATGTAGTCCAACATGGAGGGCCAACCTTATTCGGTCGAGATTGGCTGCGCAACCTCCAACTTGACTGGAAACACATAAAGTTGATTGCACGATGTGAGGACAAGAAGCTAATGGAAGCGGTCGAACGTCTGAAGACCAAGTATGAGGACATTTTCAGCGAAACCTTGGGTACATTACAGAACATTAAACCACGAATCAAAGTGAAAGAAAATGCCTCACCGAAATTCTGCAAGGCTAGACCAGTACCGTATGCCATTAAACCTAAAGTCGACAAGGAAATTGATGAACACTGTGAGTGAAATAGCAGAAGCTGATATGCGACAAATTGAAGATAAGTTTCAGCTAGAGCCACATGCGTTTAAACTAAGGGGTGGGGAAGTCCATGGTTACAGTACATATTTCCCCATTACGGTGGACTGTATTTTGAGGGAATAGTAATGATTCAAGTAATAACCATCAGGTGATTAATGTCATGATTCATACTCCTGTAGACATTACAAAATTGTGGACTCTGGAAAGTTTTGGAGTGGATATTGGACAGTGTGATTGCAAGAAAGCCCAGTTAGCTAATGCAGAAATTGAGGGAAAAGTGATTGAAGACTTGTGTACTAAAGTCAATAACAAGTGGACAGTACCGTGTCCATGGATTAAGAATCCTTATGAAATTTAAGATAACCAAGCACAAGCAGAGAAAATGTTGAGAAGCCTGCAGAAAGAATGTTGAGAAGCCTGCAAAGAAGGTTGTTAAAGAGCCCGTATCAGGCAGCAACATATGACAGACAAATGGAGGAAATAGTAACAACGGGGTTTGCAAAAAAAATTAGGAGAGTCCAAATTGAACAACTACCCTGAACTTGTGCATTACATACAGCATCATTCAGTAGTTCGTCCAGAAAACAAAACCACGCCAGTGAGAATTGTGTTCAATTCGTCTAATAAGTATAAATGAGAGGCCATCAATGACTATTGGGTCAAGGGACAGGACTTGCTATGTAACTTACTGGAAGTTCTTTTGCGATTCAGAGAAAATGAAGTGGCCCTGTGTGCCGACATATCTAAAATGTACCACCGGGTGGCGATTCTGGAACGAGATCAAAAAGACCATAGATATCTATGGAGAAATCTTGAAATTAACCGAGCTCATGATGTGTATATAAAGCTAAGACTAACGTTTGGAGACAAGCCAGCCCCTATCATGGCACAGACTGCTTTAAGATTGACAGCAAGGGAAAATGAAATAGAGTATCCAGAAGCAGCAACGATCCTTAAAAGAGACACTTATATGGACGATATTTGCCCATCTGTCAGAACTAAGGAGGAGGCAAGTAAGGTAATTCATGGTAATCATGATTTCTTATGGCATTTAGAATGTTCATAGGTAGAAAGGGAACTACAGCTGAATTATATTAAGACTGTGGAACGAACTTTAAAGGGGCAGAGCACTGAGCTAAACGACTGTTTCCGGTTAATGAGTGCAATCCAAATTGGCCAGTCAGAAAATGAAGTTTAAATTCAATCCACCCGAAGCACCGCAATTCGGAGGAAAATGGAAGAGGGAAAGAAAATCAGTAAAAAAAAAAATTGCAATAAAATGCTGTTTGAAGGATAGAATATTAACAGAAGTAATATTTAAACTGAAGTAACGGAGATTGAATTGCTATTAAACTCAAAACCATTAGGATATGTCTCATCAGATGTTTCAGATAGCAACCCTGTAACACCTAACATTCTTCTCATGGGGACAAGAGATCCCGCATTGCCGTCAGTGGCATTCAGCCCAAATGAGGAAGTAAGAAGCCGTAGGCAATGGAAGCATAGCCATGTCATAAATTCACTTCAGAGTATCTGCCTAGTGTGCAACTTAGGAATAAATGGCAAAAGGAGTGTGTAAACTTAAAAAGGGGTGATAACCAGGCCCGTATTTAGGACTATGCGGAACTCCTTATCAAAACCCACATACTTCTTCTTCTCTCCCCTAAATGGGGACTTTATTTCATTTCATTTCATTTCATTTATTTCGCCAGATATAAATATATAAATATACAAATATAAAATTTCAAAAATAGAATTGTTGCCATGTGGCAGGATTGCCCAAAAGTAGAAGATCTACTGTCGAGGAACAAAAATATAATATCGCAATTCTATATGCATAATTTTAAAAAAATATTATAAACATTAAAATGCAGTACGGTATGAAGAAAACATAATATAATTACAAAAAGATTAAAAAGGCCTAATAAAAAGTACAGATAAAATAAACCACAGAGAGAGCAATCGAGCAAATTCCCAAATCCTTTAAATGTTGTTATAATAATCATTCAGTTCCATCAAAAAAGTATTAATGTTAAAGAGTAATAAATTTCTTTTATTAGCAGGTAAAGCATTCCAGAGTCGAGGGAAACTATTAAAAGCTGTGTGTTTTAAAGCATTAGTCCTGGCAAAAGCATGTGTAAATTTTAAATTGTCCGTGTGTCTTTGATTGACAGAAACAAATGGAAATATATCCAAATCATGAATTGAGTAGAGACACTTACAAATAAATGAGATTGTCAGTAAATTAAATCGGTGTTTTAGAGAAAGTATTCTAAGGTTAGTAAGTCTCTCTTCATAAGGTGGACAATTGATAAATAAATAACAGGCCCTTGTCGCTCTCCTTTGAATGCGTTTTAATTGCTGAATATGTCTTTGTTGATAGGGATTCCAGGCTGGGACACCATACTCAATGAGAGGTCGAACAAGAGCAGTGTATAATTTTAATATAAGTTTTGAATTAGAAAAAGGAATGAGCCGTTTGATGAAACCCAAGAGACGTGAGGATTTAGATATGACAGATTTTATATGTTCCCCCCCACCCTAAATTTGAAGAAATAATAACACCAAGATACTTATAATGTTTTACAATGTCGAGTTGGGAACCATTAATACTGTAAGTTTTCAAGGATTCACTGACAATTTTTGAGCGGGTGATTCTCATTATTTTACATTTAGTTTCGTTAATAGTCATGTGATTATTCTTACTCCAATTGAATATAGTATCTAAATCGGATTGAAGGACATGTTCATCAAGAGGACAACGAATAGCCCGATACAAGACC